ACAGAAAGGACACCCACCACCAACAGGAGGATGCACCGGAAACTAAGGTAGTGTCAACGACACCTGCACTTACCTTTAGCAATGTTACTCTGGATATGAGCAGTTTGTTTGTAGAAGATCTGTGCATTTCAGCTGTTTGTTGGCTGCCTTTGAAATTGATCAGGAGCTTGTTATGGGTATAGTCATCCTCAGCTGTGTCTGATGCAGGTAACCAATGGCAAAGTCCCCACCTCCATTCTAAAGAGGCCAAGTCCCAACTACGGGTCAGACACAGAACCCAACCACAGACGGAAAGGCGAACGTAGGGTTCGATTCAGGGAGCCAGAGACCACAGTACATGGTGAGAAAACAGACAAGTTTGTCACATGTCCAGCCTGCTCTGGCACACGTGTGTTTGTGTAACCGTAGAGAACATGCTGACCCAGCTAGTCCAGTGACTTCATGTCACCCTTATTTTCTGCAGCATGTACTTGTTCGCTCTGCTTACAGAAGCCTGAATAAAATAATGCATTCATACAGTAACAAGATGAATGTCATTTTTATTGTTTATTTTAAAAAAAGACATCCTCAAAATGTGTGCCATCCCAGCTTGCATACTGTATGTAGCAGCAGTGTGTGCCCTGCACTTAGCAGTAAAGAGAAAGGACAAAATGCATTACAACATCCTGAGATTGCATCGTAAACTAGCGTCCTTTGGGGATTCTGTACTATTTAAAAAGAATGTAATGCTGTGGGACTTCCAAACATCAGCAAGTGATTTACTCTTCAGAATTAATTATACATGCAAATGAGGCTCCATAGAGTCTGTTCCAGAGAGATAGTCGAGTCTTATGAGGGCTCCCTTTTTAACAATGATTGAAACACCAGTTTGTGTGACAAGGCCTCCATTACACTGTGTATACAGTTGTGTGAAAAAGTGTTTGCCCCCTTCCTGATTTCTTATTTTTTTGCATGTTTGTCACACTTAAATGTTTCAGATCATCAAACAAATTTAAATATTAGACAAAGATAACACAAGTAAACACAAAATGCAGTTTTTAAATGAAGGTTTTTATTGTTAAGGGGGGAAAAAAATCCAAACCTACATGGCCCTGTGTGAAAAAGTGATTGCCCCCTAAACCTAGTAACTGGTTGGGCCACCCTTAGCAGCAACAACTGCAATCAAGCGTTTGCGATAACTGGCAATGAGTCTTTTACAGTGCTGTAGAGGAATTTTGGCCCACTCATCTTTGCAGAATTGTTGTAATTCAGCCACATTGGAGGGTTTGAGCATGAACCGCCTTTTTAAGGTCATGCCACAGCATCTCAATCGGATTCAGGTCGGGACTTTGACTAGGCCACTCCAAAGTCTTCATTTTGTTTTTCTTAAGCCATTCAGAGGTGGACTTGCTGGTGTGTTTTGGATCATTGTCCTGCTGTAGAACCCAAGTGCGCTTCAGATTGAGGTCACGAACAGATGGCCGGACATTCTCCTTCAGGATTTTTTGATAGACAGCAGAATTCATGGTTCCATTTACCACAGCAAGTCTTCCAGGTCCTGAAGCAGCAAAACAGCCCCAGACCATCACACTACCACCACCATATTTTACTGTTGGTATGATGTTCCTTTTCTGAAATGCCGTGTTACTTTTACGCCAGATGCCAGATGTAATGGGACATACACCTTCCAAAAAGTTCAACTTTTGTCTCGTCAGTCCACAGAGTATTTTCCCAAAAGTCTTGGGGATCATCAAGATGTTTTCTGGCAAAACTGAGACGAGCCTTTATGTTCTTTTTGCTCAGCAGTGGTTTACGTCTTGGAACTCTGCCATGCAGGCCATTTTTGCCCAGTCTCTTTCTTATGGTGGAGTCATGAACACTGACCTTAATTGAGGCAAGTGAGGCCTGCAGTTCTTTGGATGTTGTTCTGGGGTCTTTTGTGACCTCTTGGATGAGTCGTCGCTGCGCTCTTGGGGTAATTTTGGTCGGCCGGCCACTCCTGGGAAGGTTCACCACTGTTCCATGTTTTCGCCATTTGTGGATAATGGCTCTCATTGTGGTTCGCTGGAGTCCCAAAGCTTTAGAAATGGCTTTGTAACCTTTTCCAGACTGATAGATCTCAATTACTTTGTTTTTCATTTGTTCCTGAATTTCTTTGGATCGCAGCATGATGTCTAGCTTTTGAGGATCTTTTGGTCTACCTCACTTTGTCAGGCAGCTCCTATTTAAGTGATTTCTTGATTGAGAACAGGTATGGCAGTAATCAGGCCTGGGTGTGGCTAGAGAAATTGAACTCAGCTTTCCAAAGATGTGATAAACAGTTAATTTATGTTTTAACAGGGGGGGGGGGGGCAAATCACTTTTTCACACAGGGCCATGTAGGTTTGGATTTTTTTTCCCCCTTAATAATAAAAACCTTCATTTAAAAACTGCATTTTGTGTTGACTTGTGTTATCTTTGTCTAATATTTAAATTTGTTTGATGATCTGAAACATTTAAGTGTGACAAACATGCAAAAAAATAAGAAATCAGGAAGGGGGCAAACACTTTTTCACACAACTGTATATGTAGTCACATTCAATTTTCCATACAAAACTTGACTCTTAAGGTCTTTACTTTGTTAGGTCAACAGGAAAGAGAGCTATCTGTGCATGTGACAATTCAAATGAGCATTTACAAATCAAAAGTGTTCAATAAAATTGTTTGGTTTTCTGTTTGTAGCCTATGAGACGACACCGTCCCGCCCCCACCTCGCCCTGTTCACCTGCCTCTTCCTGCTGATGTCATTCGTGGGTGTGGCCATGTACTGCACAGACCGGCGGCGCCCACAGCGAGTGTGTGAGGAGCTGGAGGACGCTCTGTCTGTCTACGTGCTGCATATGAAACAGCTTGTGTGGGGCTGCTGGACATGGCTGACCATGCTGTGACTGAGGCCGACCACAGGTGGAGACATGGAGCCTCCTTTCATTTTGTCAGAGCCCTCTGTTTTCCCGTCTCTGAAGGAGCCGACAAACACCTCAGCCTTTTGGCAAGGCTCTGTACACTGTCTGTGGCTTTGAACCGCTCTCGCAGTGAAAAGGGGAAAAATGTTTAATCCCAGAAATATGTAGCTTCCATGTCTTTATGTACAAATGTGCTACGGTAGTGGGCACGCCACTCCTTATTTAAGCTGTGACTTTGCACATCTGCAATGTTGATGCTCACATATACCGCTCAGTGAATCACCACAACCATTCGATCTTTCATGTCACTGTCTGTTGTATGTGAGTGACTGTTTCCATGGAATGCAAATATTTATTTCGCTTCAATACATGGTGTGTGTACATCAGATATTACACAGAACTGAATGTGTATATATGGTTCAATATAATAAGGACTATCAAAAATATTCAGCCTTGTATAATTGCACATAAATGAATGTAGAGAAGTTTGGAAACGGCTTTGATTGGCACAGTGCACATTGGAGGGGGAGGTGGACTGAAGCACACATATGGAACAGTTGGATAATTATCCGTGAGATAGAAAACACAGGGCTGCATCACTTCACAGCACCAGGTTGAATGTCTACCAGATGAATATCACGTCTTTCTTTACAGACTGTCTGGTCTTCAGCTGATTAGCTCCACTGAGGAGAAAATCTACAGCACAATGTTATGAACGTCGAAGAGAATATGCTCATACTGAATGAATACTAATGCTTTTGACAGTGTTCCTCTTTATATCCGCTTGAATTCCACAAAATAACCTTGATCCTAAATGTTGTTTATTCTTCTATACTGTGTATCTGCGTCTACGAAAATATCCAACTGTCAATTATTTTAAATTTTTTTACTTTTTGTTACCCGTTACATTTCTATTTAGAAACAATAATATTCAGGTTTTAACCGTGATGTCAAATGCTCATCAAGCTTTGGACAAAAATAATATATATCATTTTGATCAAGTTCATTGCCATTAATATGAGGCCAAACTGAAATACGACAGAATCAAACCACAAACGGATTATAGGAATGAATGGGAACAGCGATGCCCATCCCAAAGACCTCTCATTATGAGCAATAACACACGTGACATGGTTTCCAGTAAAACACAGTTCTTTATATAACAGGTTTCAGGGAACTCGGAAGGAAATCGTCGGATTGGAGGTTTTGCGTTTGAATGTCAAAGCAATATAAGGCTAATAGCGCCTGTATAGAAGAAACACTCTCTGCTCTGTACTGTCAAACTAAATTGTCATGAGCAATAAAACAATACCCAGTGAACTCACGTCCTGCATAGAAGCTGCATTTCACGGCTGTCCAAACGTTTATGGTCACTTTGTAAGAAGTGCCTTTCTGGAGGGTTTTCTTAGTTCCTACCGTTTTATGATTTCAGTTGTTTTGAATAAAACTGTCATTCCCTATCAAAGTCAAGGAGCTGACTTGCTTTCTTCCTGTACTCTCTGACAATAAGTGAGTGTGTGATGTGTATGTAACAGGGTAGAGGTGCATGCAGGTACGTTTATGCGCCTACTCACAGTAATACCGTATATTGGTTCGTAGCCTATAAAGTGTGAAGGAGAAGCCTGAGTTACTATTTGGCACAAATACGATTTGTTTTGTTTTGTTAATCTCACACGGGTTGCTAAAAGCATTGTTGGACCATCTGCCCGATACATTATAGTTCTTAACTACAAGTTGTCATTTTCATAAAACACTCTTTGTAACTGCTGAGTGTGAATGCGCTGCAACAGCCATTATTTGACTTTGCAGCGGCATACAAAGAAGTCTCCCTTCATCAAGAAGAAGTGCACATCCTACCAGAAAACCATTTAATGGAGTATAAAACTAAATATCGTCCCTTTACATCTAAAAACCCTCACCCTATTCATTTGTCATGCATAATATCCATGCAGAGGTTTCACAAAGATAACATGATCCGTCAGCCAATCGGTCCACGCTGTTAATACTGTTAATAGAAATTCATGAGCAGAGAAAATCTGGGTGTACATTTCCCTTAAATGGTTTTAATACTATTGGAGCTGAACTATGGTTGTGTGTGTGTTGAAGAGGTTTGAACACAGTGGATGAATAAACTCAATAAAGCAGGATTTTGGAAGGATTAACAACAATTGGGAGATTTTTTTTTTTTTGAGGGAAAATCAATTGCCTTTGAAGAACAAATCTCAAACTTGTTTGATTCAATCCATAATCAATGGGAGCAAAAGCTACTTTGATTGTCTACAGAGGCAAACGTTGGTGTTTCTCATGGCAGGCGAGAGGACTGGACGAGTGAGGGCATGTTGTGCGTTTGTGTGTCCTTTGGTTTCTAGAGCAGGCCGATCTTGAGGCCAGAGTTACGTCGCGAGGAGCGGCCGAGTAGAAGGTCCTTCTCGTGGATCAGGCTGTCCAGCAGGTCCTCTTGTCTGTAGTTGTGATAGACCTTCAGGAAGGCCATCACTGCAATCCCAAGCCAAGTGAGCCATGCAGCCCACAGGCCGAACTGAAGGCAATTATTGTAAATATGAGTGAGGTTCAGGATTTTGTTTAAATCAATATTAAATAACAATATTAACCACAGTCTTACCTGAGCTATAGCAAACTGGTCGTAGAAAGCGGAGTTGTCCAGGCCGAGTTCTAGATCAGTGTCCTGCAGGTCCTCACAGCTAAAATACGACACATAAGCCGGTATGAAGAAACACAACTCTGTCTGATGAAAATGTCAGAAAAGTTGAGCTTGCTTGCTGCTCTTTCTCACCTGCTAGGCATTGTCCCGCCCTCTGTGACGGAGTCACACCACATGTTGAAACCCACGCTGACGATGGTGCTGGACAGGAAGACACTGAACACCACGAGGGAGCTGATCAGCAGGTTGAGGAAGGCGTTGAAGATGGAGCTGCAGACCCGTCAAACAGAAAGGATAAAAACGGTGAAATCTCTGCATAATTATGAAATAAATGTGGAATAGTAACACTTTAACATACTACACATATTACAGCATGATTTAGAAATACTGTCTGTATGAGAGTCACATTATGATTTAGATTTTTCAAAGGCAGCACAAGTGTATCCCCTCCATCTTTGTAATGGAGGACCACAGTGACTAGTTGTTTTAATACCATTCTGTGGTTTATAGCATAGCCTCTATAACATGCAGTCTATGATTCTTCCAGATTAGCGCGCATGTAAGCGCGTGCAGACCGACAGAGCAACACATTCACTTTAAGCCGCTGGTGGGGTGTCCAATGAGCTTGTTGTGGTGCTGGTATTGGATAGTGGTAAACGGTCACTCACTCGTCGTGTCCTTTGCACAGAAAGAATAGCAGCCTCCATGCCTGCACTGCGGACAGAATGAGGGACGATATCCCGACAAAAGTGATGAAGCTGCAGGAGGACTCGCTTCCCCACTCCTCCACGATGAAACGCTGCTTCGACACCGTGATGTTCTCGTTCTGCCACATACCCCGCGTGAACAGCAGGCATTTCCCTCCGAAGTCCTCCGTGTTTTCTGACAGCGGCACCACGGCGATGAAACCGAATACGAAGGCTAAAAAATAAAGGATGCACTGGGCAAAAATTAAATTATCGAGGGCCATTTTTCTGTCTCCCTCTTCGGCTCTCTGCGTCCTGGAAAAACTGCGGCTGCGCAGTGGAGGCTCAGCATCCGACGTTCTGCTGCAAATGAATGAGCAGCCTTAGGCCTTCAAGGCTCTCCATCTTATCTCCTTCCAGGCTGTGGAGGTCTTCACTGGTGTTCCTATTAACAGTTAATTATGATATTTAACCCCTAAACCTACATACCGTTTACCCCTTAGGATAATTCATCTGATACATACAGCATTACATGTTCTGTTTTCAATCTCTTCATTGAAGCTTTAAGATGTTTACAATGAGAGACATAGTCAAATATTTTATTCGTGTTTTGTGCATTATTCAATTCCCATAAATGTCCCCAAAATTGCTTGCCATGTTTGCTATTTTTGGACACCTTAATATCCAGTATTTCAAATAAATTTCTGTAGATTTTGACTAAGTTTGGCTTCACAGCGTGAGTTTGTGGAGAGGTTGATGTTAAAAGGTTTTGTTAACGTCGACTAGATACTGTGAGTGCAACTCTTTATTCAGAGGGTTCAATGCAGTCTTGTCCACACACACACACACACACACACACACATATAAGTCAGTGCACTCACAAATTAGAGTAATGGTTTGTTTATGCATGGTGCCAGTCCTTAAGGACTGGCAGGTAGCTGTCACAGCCATCTGACACACTTCACTGAGCCCATCTGGTGAGCCGGCCAAGGTGTCTTTCAACCTTCCTCGGCCACCCAGCCTGAGTGCCGCTCACAGTGCCCTCCAGTGGGCAAGGCATCTGCATACTCAGACAATCCGTGCCTTGATGTAGTCTAAAGATGCAGAATGCTGCAAAATCTTGGGATAAAAAGACCATCTAATTGTCTAAAATACAGTTTTGATACGGATTAAAAAATGTAAAAACTTAACTTTGTAGATGGCAAATGTGAAACAGCAAAGGGAACAGCTCCTTTAAGAGGCTGGCATTGAATAATTGTGTGTCTGAAAATATGAATCGTACAGCAGTTTCCTGGGAAATATCCCATGCAACACAAAGACAAGTATTTATACTGGAGCTTTCCAAACATCAGGCGGCTATTTGTATCCATCATACCAACTGCAGCATTTTGCATCCTCTCCCTTGCACATGATTTATGTGTCATTTTGCTGCATCGCAGCACTCTGATTTCCATGATGTTATCAGCTCTCAGGTTAGTCATTGTGTGTGTGCTTATGTGCATGTGTTGTCTTGGTTTGCTTGAAAGCATCATTGTTACTTATGTTTCGTGCTCCTTGGGCATTTTGTTTGCTTTGGCAGATCTTTATCATCTGGTGTATGATAAATTGTCCAGATGACTATATTCCTGTAATAAATCACTTTGCAGTTTAGACCTTTCTGTTGATATATTATCACTGGAGTATTGTACTTCTTGCAGTTTAACATTTTTTCAAATAGAAGCAGCAGGGGAAAGTAGGAAGGAACCATACTGTATGCTGCCATGCTGATGTTGTCTCTGGCTAGACAACATGAGCAGACATCATCAGGAATCAGAGGTGCTGCCACACCTGCAAGGTCACAGGGAAAGACCTAATAACTCCACAAGGCACTCCTTTCTTACACAAACAGGAGATTACATGCACATCCACACCCACAGAACTCCAAACCACTTTTAAATAATACAGCATGTGTGGGCTGGTGAATAGGCACCCAGTGGAGACTCAGTACAGAAGTGTGTCAAGCTGAAATATGTGTTAAGTTATTCACCCCCAGAACAAGCCACTGAGGGAGGGAGGGAGGAAGGGAGGGAGGAGAATGCTAACTCAAATGGAGTCCCTTGGCTCTGTGTAAATATGGGGAGCGATGGGCAGCAGAAAGCATTGGGAGGTCATCCATTTTTCATGAGATCCAATGGCAGCAAAGCAAACGTCCTTTTTTCAAGAGGAAAAAAAAACCAGTGAAGAATCTTATGTGCAGAATCATTTTCAAGGACACCATCACTGCATTTAAAATGTAGTGCATTTATGTTTGAAACGGACCAACATGCATCCTGTTGACCAGATAATACAAATACACAATACAAGCCAATTTTTTATATTCTTCTGGAGTTTTAATTGGCGATTTTATTCAATAATTTAAGTTTATCAATAATTCCTGAGAAATTCATTATTGAGTGTTTTACGACACGTGGTATGACAGTGGGAGACAAAAGGGTGTGGCAGGACAGCATCACCGGGTAGGAGAGGTTTCTGATAGAAGAAGCCGTCAGAACAATCTGACCAGTGGATTGATGAGTAAAGGGAGACGGATAACTTCAAGGTGAAAACTCTATGTTGTGATCAAGCCTGTCGTATGGTCGGTAAATTAATTTGGGTGTGATGTTAATCCTTACAATATTGCTTTAAGTTAAAATATCAAATTCAGATTTTGACTCAAAATATATTTCTAAATCAAAAGAAAAGATGCATCATGTTCAAAGACTTAGAGAATATATTACATTCAGTTCAGTTCTTCACTGTCCTGTGTCATAGATGTGCTAAATCGTTATGCTCTCTTCCCTCGTTTTCCTCTCCTTAATGGTGTTCTTCCACTTCTTATGGCACCTTGGCAACTTGCAGGCTCCTCTTTGTCTGTCTGTAACACAAAACAACAGCAGAAACAGACACAATTAGATCCTCATATCCTGGGCAGTGATGTGGAGGGCCTGATGAAATATCCTGTACCCATTAATCTTTCCCCAGGGGGGCGCAGGAGACTGGGAGCACTGATTAAATGCTCCTAATAGAGGCCATTCGTCTCCCCTCGAATCTTGAATGTTTCAACATGCAACATCACCCAACACTACTATGCCCTGCCTCTGTGCAAATATTGGTTATTTTCATGAATTTTATTTTGTAATATCTTTTTTTAAGCAAGCGTGATCTTTGTGATTTGCTTCTATAGCTTTTGTTTTCATCATGGTGAATATCTCATTGACAACTGTGCCACAAAAATCATCATAAACAGTCATGCTTGAGGTCATATGGAACGAGATCAAAACTTGTAGTTTACAATAACTTTGTTTAATATCCTGATTTTCTTATCTTTTGTCACTCTGGCGTTAAAAAGATGAGGCCGGTTAGGGATTGTCTTCAACTCATTTTCACACATTAGTCATTAATATCTCTCTATCTGCCTATTAAGCAAATCCTGTACAGCGTCATTTATGGCCTGGATGGACGATTAGATAACAATAACAGCACTTCTTTCAAAACAAGCCCCTGGAAACACACTCTGAGACTGCAAGTTAATGGATGTAATGCATTTACTACAAACATCCACAATACATCCCAAATAGATTGTCTGTGATAGACACACACTGCTTGTACAGTATAGGGTACTCAGGCCTGAAGTATAATCATCATAAATTGACATGGCCTAATCACGTTTCACCTGCCAAGCTCCATATGGTCTCTAATTCTGAACAAAATAATTAGGTGACTGCATCCCAATCAAACAATTATCCAATGAAACCTCAGTAAAACAATTACCTAATCATATCCATGCAATGATATAATAGTGCTGAGCAGTATAATGTCCAGGTTGATGCCCAACAGTAAAATTATGCAACATAAAAATGTGACCACATCAGTGTGAGGTGTTGTATTTTTGACAAATGAATAATAGCTACATTCTGGGCTATTTCATCCACATGTGACTCTGTACTTCAAGATACAAAACAATTGATGCAAATCCCCAGAAACACTGCCTTCATGTTTGGAAAATGACGTAATTGTAGGTGGATCTCTTAAAAGCAATAGTGTTTATGCTGGAGGACAGGAGAAAGAGGGATGAAGGGTAGTAAAGAGGGCACCTGCTGGGTTGTGATGAAGCAAAATCCCCAGGGACAAGAAATGAGATCATCCAAATAAGAAGACGCTGTTCAGCTTCTTGACTGGATGAATAGTGACCCCTACTGGCCCGACTGGCTTTTTATCTCCTTGTGTTGAATGTTCCACAGCTTCAATGTACAGCATGTATCATTTGGAAACAAAAGTACCTGTTTATCATCTCTGCTGTCTCCTTCTTGCTTTGCAGTGAAGTCCCTAAAGTCGACCAGACTGTAGGAATATGGTTGGCCTAGTACAAGAGAAGGCCTCTTATTATCTGTGAATGAACAGAAACAAAACCGTAAATAAGAAATTGTTAACAATGTCAGAATGTCTATCTGTTAAAATCTCACCAGTTGTAATGATCTATTGCTGGAAACATCACTGACAATAGAAACGAGGAAACAGCCTGACACTATCTTTTTAATTGTATGCAACATTGCTCCACTGTTATGTCTTTAACCCTTGTCCCAGTCACAAGGTTGAGACATCGGTGTGGAGCAATAGGCCGTAGATCCCAAAGGCCCAGTAGTGATCAGTACAATTCAGCAGATGGAGGGAGGTCTGCTTGCACTGGTAGACAGTACACCCCCTATAGAAAGTGTGGGGGAGGGGGTAGAAGGGGTTGCTCTACGGATGACTGACTGCAGCAAGGTTAACGGAACCAATCACTGATACTTTACTTCCTCGACAGTCTCCCTCTCCTAGCAGCCAAGACCCCCCGCCGTTGGTACATGTGCTGGTGTCCTGCACCCTGCAGTGAACAGCAGCACCTCTGACATACGTTTATGTCCAGCCCTAATACAAACACAAGTTATTCATCCTTAGACCCGTGCTAGCAATGACATAAATTGCGTTTTCAATTAGAATATTACTAATGACCTTTTGCAATCTTTTGGGAGCTCTAAATGTCAACAAGGCAACGGGTAGCACACGTTTCATTATCTTTAAGAACCAGTGTACAACGCATGGTTGCATAGATTTGAATATGGTTTTATATGTATGGTATAGTTTATTTTTTTCAAATATAAACTTGAATAACTATCATGGTTCTATGCCTCCAGTGAGATTGCAGTTTTCATCCATGTCCGTCCAAAATGTAATCAATCAATAATTTTATCCTGTTAGACTTTAGTTCTCATATATAGCAAATTAATTGTTGAGTTATGGCCAAAAATATGTTTTGTCAGATGACAGTGACCTTTGACCACCCAATTCCAATCACTTCATCCTTTAAACCAAAGGGAAAGTTTCTGCCAAATTTGAAGAAATTCTATCAAGACGTCACTGAGATATCATGTTCATGAGACTGGGACAGACGTGAGGTCTCAGTAACCTTAACCCTTGACCACCAAAATGTTATCAGAGTATCCTTTAGTCCAAGTGGATGTTTGTGCCAAATTTGAAGAAATCCCTTCAAGGCGTTCCTGAAGTATCTACTTCACGAGAATGGGATGGATGTGAGGTCACAGTGGCGTAGAGCTTTGACCTAAAACCACCAAAATCGAATCAGTTCATCTTTGAGTCCAGTTGGACATGTTTGCCAAATTTGAAGACATTCCCTCCAGCGTTCCTGATATTGCATTGACGTGAATGTATTGGATGTAGGGACAGACGGACAACGCAAAATTATGTCATTCGATAATATGACGTGAAACAAAATTCAAAAAATGTCACAGTATAGTATGCCCTATAAAAATGTCATGAAATTTCATAGTACAGTATATCATATACGTAAGTCAGAGTATGCAATGCAATAAAAAAAGTCATGGTACAGTATGAGAAAAAAAATTAACATGTTATAGTATAATATGCCATAAAAATATCTTAAAAATGTGATGAAAACATCTTAGTATACTATGGCATTAAAAAAATCATCGTATAGTATGTCATAAAAAAGTCATAGTATATTATGCCAACAAATGCCATTAAAATGTCATTGTATTTATGATATTAAAAAAGTGTCGTGAAAAAAGTCATAGTATAGTATTTTGTGAAAAAAGTCATGACATTGTTAGCTATAAAAATGTCATATGATGGAAGGAAATACGACAACCTAAAAACATTTCCTCCGACCACGGCTGTCGCCGGCGCAGACACATAAAAACATCACAAAGGCTTCACCTGATGTGATAGTTGCTCCTGGCTCTGTAGCAGGTAGAAGGCCAGCGGAAGCTCTGCAGGTTTCCAGGTCCTGTTTCCACCATCTGTCCATTTTGCAATGATCCAGCAAGGTAGAGGAGCTCTCAACACAATGTTCATCCATCTTTAATCGGGCTTTGGGGGAGTTTTCATTGGTGGTGCCAGAAGGAGCAGAGGTGGTAATGATGCTGCAGGTTAGGCTAGGGGTCAGAGAGCTACCAGAGATCTGAAGCTGTGTGGGAAAAATAGAGCTGCACACTGTGGTGAGAAGGGATATGTCCTGCTGACCAGTCCCTGCTGAGACCGTTGAGCTACTGGCAGCAGGATCCTCTGACAGAGGGCTCTGGTGAAGGTCAGTCGGCAGGTCCTGAGTGGTTTCAGACGGGGCACAGGAGAGGCTGAAACTGAAAATATGTGAGGCGATGCAGTCTGATTGTTCTTCTTGGTTGAGTGACAATGCAGAGCTCCTCAGATCAGTGACATCTGGGGGATCGTGAGCGATTTCTTCTCTTTTACAGCAGGCCAATTTATCTGCAGAAACCACCAGCTCTACCACAATGTCTTTGTTCAAGTTGCTGACAAAAATAGGGTATGTGGCGCCATCTAGTGTCAAGGCGTCAACTGATGAAGGGGTTGTGCTCTCTTCTTCTACCTCCTCCTCTTCCCCACTTTGGTTCTCTCCATCAGTGAGGACAGAGGAGATCCTCTGCAGAGTCAATGTACGTTCATACACATAAGGATGGTCCTGTCTCAACAGAGGCAAGCAGGAGGCTGAGGTGATGGAGGAGACAGACTGAGAGCTCAGATCCCGAAAAGAAGAAATGTGCTCTGGTGACTCAGGTTGCTGCTGGGACAAGAACAGATGTAAATGGCAAGGATCATTCTTTTAAAAAATCAATTATCTATTCTCTTGTGGTCGTTTTTCATAGGGACATTGACAATGCATACATTATGGACAGGCTTTTCTTCTGCTGGTTCATCTGCATGTGGTGTCCGCTCTGTTTCTTCTACCCTGTCCATTGGGGAGGGGCTGGGCGTGAGATGACGGAGAGCCTGGGTTGACAGAAACATCTCTCTGCTGTTCGATTTTCTCGCTCTGTGCTCTGGCCACACCACCTCACTGGAATAAAGAACACAGAGATATGTTGAGTTCTTCGGGGTACTGAACATATATTAACATAATTCAATCTCTGTTGTAGGTGCTTTGTTTATAGGTGTGCATGTGTGGATGTAGGCTATTCGTAGGCTATATGTCTTTCATGTACCACATGTGGTGGTGTAGAATGTGTTTATGTGAGGCTCTGTACCGACTGCAGAAATAACTATACTTGAAAAAGGACAATTAAGAATCTATCTGTTGTCCACATGCCATCTACAAACGCAGTACCTTATCTTAGGATGCGGCTTTCTCACTTCTATCACAGCCTGTCTGACGAGTGGAACCAGTTCCTCTGGGGACACTGTGTTGTCTCTGTAAGCCTGATACAGTTTGGCAGACAGCGGGCAGGGTGGTCTTCCTGCTGACAGATCTTGTAAAATGAAATCTGAGGGTTAAATATAACACATTTTAATTTGTTCTGATACCATTTGATATCATTTAATCTGCCTCACCTTTCTTAATCAGTGGCAACTGTGACCTTGTAGTCCCATTTTCGATGACTCCATCCTGAAAAAAAGTAATTTCACAGCTCAGTATGTTTGGTGCATATGTTTTTGCTGTATTACAAGACATTCACTTACATTGTATCCTGCAGGGATGCACTTTAACGCCTCTGCACACAGACCAAATCCATTACAAGTCTGGAGGAAGTACATGACCATGTTGTCACTTTCTGCGTGGCTTCTCTTCAGCAGAGCCCAGGCTTCAGATACACAACTGGAGACCAGAGACATCGTCAACGACACACAGTAAGATAATTAGTGATGATTTAACACATGACAAGCCAGCCATTAGTGTCCCAGAGTGTACCTGTTTTGAAGTAGCACATCTGTACAGAGCTTAGCATCCTCAATGCTCTCTATTGCGGGTCTGGTCCAGTGGAGGTACCTTAACGCCAACTGAGGCTGCTTCCTTGTTAGCAAACAGTGGATGATGCAACGATGCTGCCAGGAGAGACAGGGAGCAGCAGCCCTGGGGCTCAGCAATAACTCCATGGAGGCCTGGGTAGGATGTGACATGACAAAGAGCAGCATTGAAAGGTTTCCTAACATCCATGACAAAAAAAAACTATTTGTTGTTATCAAGAAATAAACTGGCAATTGTTTCATCGTTCATGAAAGAGAAGTACACTGTAAATTCATCACTAAGTGTGGAGCGTTATTACATTAATCATACGCGCTACTCAAGTGGCCAATTAGTGTCACCTGCAGACCCTCATGGCTGCTGACACAAGGAAACTAATGTAATCAACAGGCTGGTTAACCGGCTCTTGAGTCGCACTCGTCAGCTTGCATGTGCTGATTTTAATGACTTCAAAGTCAGCAGCTGTCACTCACTTAGTGTATAAAATAAAGTTTGCTTCTTGGTTATTTACCTTGATGTGTCCATGATCAAGCATCCAGAAGGCCCTGATTTGTTGGGAAAAGCTGGAAGAAATAGTAAAAGCAAGGCAGAAAGACCGGAGGAGGTCATCTTTGCACTGCAGGAAGTTCGCCATATCCAGGACAAAGTACATGAGCTGAGATACATATAGGTTAAGCATTAATAACCTGAATCACATATACAGTATGTATCTAGAACAAAGCACAATATAGCACAATAGAAGAAAAGGGGATGTACAGAATTTGCTGATATTGTATTTTGATGGATACAAGCGCTTGAACCGACATGTTGTCGATATGAGGCACCAACACAAGCTTAAGCAGGGCCTGCAGATTAGGAGGAGGATAGCACTGGTCTGTGCCGTCTTCAGAAGTCCAAATGCACCCATGTTGTCTGTCCAGCTGAGTCACCATACCCTGTATCAAAGAACTAAATCTTTCCATTTCTCCCTCCTCCCATCTAGTCAAATGTAAGAAAACGGAAAAGCAGAGAAGAAATAAAAAGAGAAACTTCGGCGGGAGGAAAATAAACACAATGGCTCGGAATTCCTCCATCAAGTCAAATCACCAGAGTTACCCAGGTGTCTCGAGACAAGCTTTCCGATGGCTCTGATCCATTTCCTTCCACATCTGAGAGATGCGTTTCACCTCGTGAGCCTCTGACAGCAACAGCAGAGAACAGGAAAACTAATTAAAGGTGACAGAACAGCTCATCACATCAAAATAATGTACCCTGTGTGATTATATCTGTACCAGGGTACTTGGGCAGAAGTCCCATGATGCCCCACCACTGAACCAGCCGCCCCAGCCAGATGTGTTGCTTTAGGGCCCTGTGCTCTCGGTTCCAGCAGCCACGTCTGATGTCTGAGGAGCCGAATGTATCCCTGCAGACCACACATGGGACCCCCATACCTAAAAAAAAGTCGGAATTCTATCAATTTGTAGTTGACATGTCAAACAGTTAGGACAACAAGGGCTGTGACAAATATCAACCAAACCATCATGCTGTTTAGGTTGTGTGCATTCTGTGTACCGTGCCAGAGGTGGGCTGAACCAAGCTGCCTTCTTGCCCACTGGGCCAGGGTGAGCAAGTTCCTCAGTCTCTGCAGCAGCATGTGCACCCTGTTGAAAGAGCTACGGTCCAGAAACATCCACAGGCCCTGGCAGTAGCTGAAACCTGGGAGAAGAAACAATAAATAATGTAAGAAAATGATCCTTAGTGTGTGCTTTGAAATTAAACATTTAAACATAATTGGTAAAGGAACATGTTCTTACACAGTGTTAATAACTCCTTTTTAGTAAACTCTGATGTCCTCTGTACCCAGCAGATGAAAGTCAAGAGGATTTGCTCCACATCAGCCTCCCCTGCAGCAATGTATTAATGGAGATGAAATGTTAATGAAACACACTGAATTAATAAAAGAGGGTTTTTGCAAATAGTGTACAGAATTCTAATTCGATGGTAGTAAAATGCTCCGAATGCACCTTTAGCCGTAAACTCCCGCAGCCAGCGGATGATGGCTCTTATGTTGTTGCTGGCTAACGCCTCGGACCACTGGCCCTCTGTATCCAGCATGATGCCCTAAGAAAAGGAAGTTCACATGGTGGGATCATAGGACCGTATCTGAAAAGAAAAGAAAATGCTGATACCTATGGTTCATCACAGCAAAAGACAGAAAGGTTAATCATGAAAACATCCTTAGTACTGCAAGCATTTTAACCATAACTCATATAATGTTCTTGTGTGCTTACATTGTGCACTTACGGCTGGAAAACCTCTCTTAGACATGTTTCCATAATTAGATCAATTGTGCATGAACAGATTCAATTGTGAATGTGGTAGTTATTATTTTGAGAAGCCTCTATAAAGATAATTGTAAAGATCTGTTGGATTATCAACACTTACGTGGTTTGGTTTTCCGGTAACTCCGTTACGCTTCACTCTTCAGCACAGCGGTTAGTCTTGTGTGTTCGGTCTGCCTTGTGGATTAGCTGACTGGCCCGGTGGTTACGGTAACGTTCTCTTCTTACACAAGCTACTTTGGTACATGTTAATCCACTAATCTCACTCTCAGTTAACAGTTCATTGGCTGATTTGCAGTGGCTGTGAGTGTATATTATTGTGTGTGTTGAAATCAAAATTGGAAAACGGAATAGCTAAGACCAGCAGGGATGACAGGATAGCAGGAGGTGGAAATTGACTTCTTAAATGATAGAGGGAGGAAAAGTACTCTGCTCTCTACAGCTTGAATCTTTCAGGCATTTGGCACTTTTTGGCCACACCCCAGTCAATCTAATAGCAATTTTTTTTCTCTCACCATGTTCCAAATGCAGTGTTGCATTGTGGACAAAAAACACCACATACCTGGAAATTAGAGCGATTTACTATAAAATATCACTTTCCAGAATGTCCAGATGGATGTCTGTACTCTTTATTTCCTACTACTATGAAAACACACACAAACACAATGGTCATCAACAATTGCTTTCACAGTGCTTGGACAGTCAGATTTGCGTAGGTGGCAGAAGGTGGGTCCAAATCCCTCTCGGACCCAGAGGGTTGATTAATGATTAAGGGGGATTAGGATGAGGTTCAGGACTTTACTACTAGTCTCACTAATGCTGCCGTGGCTGCCTTCATACTATCTGTGTCACTACAACCACTCGCCTTTCTCAGGAATAAATCTGAGGATGTCTGAAGAAAAACAAACTGAAAATGAGGAAAATAATGCCAGATGTTCAGCGGGAATACTGACCTTGATAAGGTAGGTGCAGTGCACTTCTTGGATTCCATTTCATTATACCAGTTATTTATTACATTTTGTTCTTAGGAGCTTTGTTCAGAGAGACATGCCAGGACAACTCTACTTAAAAGAAAAATGTTTTTTTAAACCAAATTACATCTTGTTAAACATTTCTCAGTTTGTCTCACATGTAGATTGCTTCCAGTTTGCGTACAACTGATCAAATGACAGTGTTTTCCATTCAAAGAAATTGTGCCGTCGTGTGAGAAAATATATTTTTCATACTCTCTTTTCATAGATCTGCTGCATCTACAGTATAACCATAATGCAGCGTAAACAAGATATCGATCATGACTACCAGGCTAAGCTGCTTATGAGAGGACCTTCAGAGAAGTGTACAACCCCTTGGTCCCCCACACCCCCTGGAGGATAACCAGTTCCTCTCCCCTGCTCTACCTGTGTCCCACCATTAATCCCCCTTAGACTGAAAAGAAAACCTACAGGAGATTTGCACGATGGCGGTCTTGAGACTGAAGTTCACCAAGAACAAGCGAGACAAGCTGGCTCAGGCGCTGTGGATCCTGAACTGGATCTCAGTGCTGACCGGGATCCTCCTGTTCAGCCTGGGGCTCTTCCTCAAGGTGGAGATCAACAAGCGAGGAGAGCTGATGGCTGAGAGGAACGTCCAGTACGTGCCCAACATGCTGATTTCTGTGGGCCTCATTGCCTGTGCCATAAACTTCCTGGGTGGGAAGATCTGCTATGACTGCGTGGACACCACTAAGTTCTTGCGCTGGAAGCTGATCATGCTGCCCTACATAATATGCACCTTCTTCTTCACCTTCTGCGTGCTAGTAGGGGCTCTGATGTGTTACAGCATGCGTGGGGAGCTAGAGGAGTCTCTGAACCTGGGCCTGACAGATGCCATCAAGTTCTATAAGGACACAGACACACCAGGACGATGCTTCCTGAAGCGAACGGTGGACATGCTGCAGATAGAGTTCCACTGCTGTGGGAACAATGGCTATAAAGACTGGTTTCAAATACAGTGGATCAGCAACCGTTACCTGGATATGTCCCAAAAAGAGGTGGTGGAGTAAGTGCAGAGTATTCACACTTAAGATGAAGTAGGGAAAAAAAAAAGGACGGTACAAACAAAACCTTCTCCTTAATATCTCAAAATATGTGTTGGTATAACTTGTTTCATCCTTGATAACTAAAAGGGGCAAAACATTACAAAAAATATACATATTGTAATATAATTTAAACCATAACATATTAATTGAATAATAGGTGTCACAATAAACCCAGAATTAGAAATCTCCAAATGTATACCAAACAGAACAAAATCATGAATATTGCAGCAATCTCTGTTAGAAAGAATAACATACTAAAAAAACATGTTAAACTTGAGTATCTTTATTTAAAATGTTCTGTTTTGATGCAGACTAAAGTGAAGGAGGAGCAACTATTGGTGGAGATAAAAAGCTCACCACTAATATGCATAAGAATCCATGTGTATTATGTCCGAACATTAGGTACTTAACTGAAAAATGAAGCCCTGAAACACTGACACCACAGAACACACTAAAACCATCATTTGTAACCGTTACTTTTTTAAAATTCACATAAAGCATAAAGAAATATACATTTGGGATAAGTACAAGTTATAGGGTACTTCACTGCTCTTCTAAAAAGTCAAATAGCCTCTTTTCAGCTATTTTAACTACATATCCCCTCCCAAGAAATAATCACACTCCCAAACAACGATACAAGTCCAATCTTTCACACACGGATGCATAAACACGGACCCTGAGCTTCTTTGTCCTGCTTTCTAGCCGATTACGGAGTAACGTAGAGGGGAAGTACCTGATGACCGGAGTCCCCTTCAGCTGCTGTAACATCGACTCCCCTCGGCCCTGCATCCAGCAGCAGATCACCAACAACTCCGCTCACTTCAAGTACGAGCACCAGACGGAGGCGCTGAACCTGTGGATGAAAGGGTGTCGCCAGGCGCTGCTGGAGTACTACACCGACATCATGCAGTCCATCGGCCTCACAGTCCTCATCATCTGGTTGTTTGAGGTGAGGAGAGACAAGTTGAGAACAATCAAATGCCCGAATGGTGAAGTTAAAAATTATTTTTTTTATTTCATACTTTACTATGACTTCTCTTATGACACACTATACTGAGACATTTTGTTGATAAAATAGTATGACTTATGACACACTATACTATGAAGTTTGAATGACATTTTTGTAACCTACTATATTGTGAAAGTTTTTTGAAGTGGACTCTATTGTCCTGTACTCAGATACATATCAGGGTAAAGTACAGAAGTACAAATATTCAAAATGTCATCATTTAGTGTAATGTCAGTCAAACGTACCTGCGTGTCTTGTTTTAGCTGTCGGTGTTGACAGGCGTTCGTTACCTCCAGACCTCTCTGGAGAATGTGCTGAGACAGGGCGACCTCAACTCAGCGTCTGATGGCTGGCTGCTGGAAAACAGCTTTATGGAAACTGCCCGCACCAACCTGAACATCATCAAGTGCCTCGGCAAGGGCAACCAGATAGACACAGCCAACAATGGAGACCCCAACATTAACGTTCCCTCCACCTCTGAAGCGCACTACGGGCCGGACAATAGGCCACAGAAGGAGATACCTGAAGCCAGTTGACCTCTGCCTCCCTGAAAGCCCAAGTAAGGACCTTTAAAAAAAACCTTTTGTTCTTACTTGTCAAGAATAACAAATACCTATACACAGGTGTTTGTGTGTGGGGAAACTAAGGTATATTGTGGATAACACATTTTCTAGTATGATGGGGTAAATCTTTTGCAAAATGAAGATAATGCCTTGTTGACTTTTTACAACCATTGTCGAATTACATGTTTTCCATACACGTTCCTGTTTTGATGATGCAAATATCCAAACATCCACCACAAATGTACATCATTTGTACGTCTGTACTGTAATCGGTTGTTTACAATTTATATATTGTTGCCTGTGTATCATGGCTTTGCCCAAAACAGTTTCATACACCTGTCAGTTGCAACACTGGAGTGAAAATTAACTTGAAATGTATTTTTTGTTTGGAGACAAATTAGTAATGTGGGTCAGAAGTTTGAGCCCACGCTCTTTGCACGATGTTCTCAAAGTGTGATAGAAAATGCAGTAAAGAGTTTAAAATGACTATAGCAAGAATGTAGGATATTTTAATTAAATTCCACAAATCTAGATGCAGGGTGCTTTGGCCTCAAGTTAATTATTGCAGTATGAGACCTGGAAGAGCAGGAGCTTTACATTAGTTCTGGGTGTTCAGATCAACGGATCCTTTCTGTGCAGATTACCGGACTTTAAGAAACAAATTAGTATCAATGTGATAAATACGTATGTTAAGAAAGTTAAAGCCTTTACATTAGGTAAAACATTTAAACATAACCAGACAGGAATCTAATTGATTACTCATAACACCACATTAACTTATAGTATGTTCAAGCCATCACTACAATGACTCATGTGCCTCAGCAATGCCACCATGGTCTTATCAAAACACTTCAGCCACCTTCGCTAGGATGACCCAACAAAAACTTGACAATAAAACTTCTGTGCTGGTGATGGTCGGCTTTTAGTTTGTGAAGGACTCAAAGCCAGTAAAATTGCAAACGAGGCTACTGTGTCTGTGTTTCAATGATGATCATATTGGCTGGATGTTGTCTGTGGGTCAAAGGAAGTCTGCTTTTCAGGACTCAGAGCACATGGCAGCTGAGAAGTCAAATTACAGCTTAAAACATTTGGGGAAATACAGAAACTTGGGAGGTTGCTAAATTAAAACGTGTGGGTTGATTAAGTTTTAATTCTCGCTGTGAGACCGAGTTAAAATGCAGGATCGAACCTGTGAAATAAGATAATCCTATCTATCCGTCACCCGGGGCTCTCACTTGATGGATGACGTTGGGTGAGCAACGAGGAGATTTTTATTCCATTATAATGAAACAAATCTAATCCCATAAAACATTATACTGGATTCAGATGGATTGAGGGCACAGGAGCAGTTCATCTGTATAGAGGCTAGTGTCTTTATTTCTATAGCCTGGAAGTCATGTAGCACTGTCAAACAACACATTCCATATTCACACTTCTTCCTGAAAAGGAGTAATAACCGAAAAAGATACGATATAGTACATTTCCCTTTTAAATAGAATATTGAAAGGGTTTTTTGGAAATGTAAATTTAATTTGTGTAAAGTGGATTTACCACCAGATGGTGAAATATGACTAATCTGTCAAGCAAAGGTCCCCTTGATATATTTTATTTATTATAAACATACATTGAACATCTGATACTCATAATCACTTTGGCCTAATAGGGTTCATTAGTTACAGGGCATATCATAATGCTATATAGTACGTAGAGATGTTTTATATAATTCACTCACTGATTCTTTAAGGTCAGTGAGGATTTATAACCATAAATGTCAAAAAGTGGATGAACATTATAGCGTCAAAATGTCTGCTTATCCTAAAAAGTATTTATATCAGGAAGTCATGAAAGCAGGTTACTGTATACTCTTCACAGAATACCAAGTTTGTTTTAATACAACTTTGAAAATAATGTATCTTCTATAAATGTGTTATCCATTACATACGCTTCTATATGTGAGTAAAGGTGACCGTGTGTGGCTCCATCATTTGGAGTGTCTACATAGTTAATGGGCAAAAAACAAAAATGTGTGAGATCTCTCTAAATGAATGTAACCCTCCAAAACATCATAACTTATGACAAATCATATTTTATAAAACCAAAAGAGAATGCAGAAAATTCACAGCATTACTGAGAGAAATGAAATATATAAACTGATAACTAAAACATGTTGGTGTGTATCTGATGTTTGTCTTTATTTGAATAAGCCTCTTTGCCAATAACATTACTCTAGCAGAAACTCCTGACAGCAGACAATCAAATTAAAACAAGGCGACTTGGTTTTGCTCAATACCCTCCATTTACCCTCCACTATTCATCTTTTGAGTGGCCCACCTCTCTTGACCCCAGCGGGGGTTTCATCAGGGAGGGATTGGCTGCTCAGGCCTCCTTTGATTGTAGGAGGGTGCTGTGTGTGTGCGTGTGTGTGTGTCTGCCTAAGGAGCACTGGAGCAGATTGTGCTCTATGGCTGTGCTCTTTACTTCCCGTCCACGACAGCTGGCGCAATCATCACAACATCTGCCACTCAAAGGCAAACATAACGTTGACCACCTCCAGACTGCGGGCGATTTCTTCCAGGATGCAATGCTGCTGCCACAGCTGGTTCAGCTTCCTGTAGCGCTCTGGGCAAAGGTGCAATGGATTGCCCCTTCTACAAATTAAGAAGACAGAAGGCCCGACTTATTCAAGGTTTGTCCAAGAAACAAAAGACACAATACATAGGAAGTGAGAAAATGATGCACTTCATGGTCAAGACTATAGGCTGCCTACGGAAGCAGTAATGAGTCAAATCATCAGTAGGGTTTTTTTTTCCAGTGACATCATTGTTGAAGGACATTAAACTCTCCAAGACTTAATTGGGAGACTTCTGTAAAGTAGAACAAGGTTACTAAAAATAAGCTATGATTCTTACCCAAGGTGAGGATCAGTCTCCCCATAATCGTCCAGGTAAGGAGCAGGGTATGTGCTTCCTCGAGTCTTACTGGCCATCAGTACAATTTCACACTCTCTTATCCTGTCAACATGAGAACAAACTTCAGTTATGCAGCACGTTTCAAAACAAGACAACATGCGATTCAAAGTCAGAAATGCTCTAAGGACTAGAATTCCCCCACCTGAGGAACATGCCCACTCCAGCCCCACAGGTAGCAGCGTGGGCAGTGCAAGCTCCCACATCTTCTCCATCCAGCTGGCTGAGACAGCAGGAGCTCTGAGAGCACAACATGGCCCCACAAAACAGGCACAAGGTCGGGTGCTTCCTGTCATCATCTGTAGATTTGGGACACCTGAGGAAAAGTAGAGTGGACAAGTGGTGTGAACATCTCGAGCAGACTTTCCACTGAAAGAACTTTAATCTCCCCACTTACTGAAAATGGCTGGCTTGATTGAGGAGAGCACTGTAATCCTCAGGAAGATCAATCAAACGATTCCTTCTCCTGGGGTATCTGTAGACAGAGTACATCGATCAATAATTAGGAGCTGATTTATTACAAAATAACAGTGGGACTGAAGTAATACGAAGGCCAAAGTCTACCTGACGGTCTGACTTTTGCCTTTCAGGGCTTTGGTTACAGCTGGACTCCCACACCACCTAAGGAAGAAAAAGCATCGTCCTGAAACTGCCCACCTCACCAGTAAATATGAAAAGACCACTGATCAAATGCTTTGACCGTGCCTCAATGTTTATCACTTACCTTTTCAGCAGTGGAGTAACAGTGTCTCTGTGCTCCTGGAAGAGCTGGAACACATTGGAGGGCAGTGCCAAGTAGCTGCATAGTGCCTCCATCTGTCCTTGTGAGGCAACTGCAAGAAACCGAAAAAGTTTATCTTGAATTCATTAAATCATCATATGTAGTATGTTATGATGATAGAATACTTCACCTACCAGTACTACTACAGAGCTCCTCTGGAGGATGTACTCCTGTAAGGCAATTAAAGAAGAGAGCGGCGCAGCGCAGGAAAGGTTCAATTCCTCTCTTCACTCTTTCTGCCACAGAGACGCCGGACACATCTGGAATCGGCCTGATGAGCAAACCACAGAACAATCTGTCAAACAAGCTGAAGAAGCTGTTACATTGCAGAGTATATCTCTGAGAAGGCAGCATGGAAAACAAACAAGCAGTAATGTTTGCCTCTACTGAGGGGGCTTACAAACAGGCGAGGTCGATTCCTGTCAAGTTTGATTATGAAGCAGGCTAATAAAAAAATAACCCAGCACTCAGTGAAAACATCTGCAGACTGTGTTCATGGAGAACACCGACGGTGGATTTTGAATAAGAGATATGTTGCTTCAACCGCAGTGGGACAGCCTTTAGCAATGGTTTCTACATTTAATTGTTGTTTATTTGTCGAGAGCTGCCATTTAAAGTCTAAATCACAAATGTTTATTTGGCCATCATTTGGTTTCAGGTCTGATATTAATCTAGGTTTTCAGAAGGGGAGGCCAGGGAAGAGGAACAGTCAGAAACACCTTACAAATCAGAATGAGTTGACAGAAATGCAGATTTCAAACACAATCAGGCCATTTGCCACCATGAAGCTTACATTACACAGACTCACTTTCAGCAGCTGCATGATGACTTAATGGACCTTTAACAAGATGAATTCTGAGCTTAGTAGTGTGACCTTTATACAAACATGAAGCTTCCCTCCAATAAGGAAAAGAGAAGTCCATGAATTTCTTTTAAATTCCACAATCAAGGCATCAGAACACATGACCTTTTCATTTAGTTAATATTATGTTCATGAGTTCTGAGCTCAAAAGAATTATATATCTACTTGAATGATTATACTGCCAGAAAATCCATTCCACACTACATGCAACTGAACTAATCCACAGAGGTTATACTTGATATTTTAACCATATAAAACTTCTGCTAATGCATTTCACCTGATAAACAATAGGATGATGAGAAACACTTGTACCTTTCAGTGTGTTGTGACACTGAAGTGTAGAGCTCTGCTGCTGCTTTCGACTCTTCCGTCTCCTCTCCAGCTACTGCAGGAAAATCTAGGTAGAAACGACACCGTGATTTAATCCTCCTCGATACTCTACAGCTTTCTGCAGTAGTTCAGTGAATGAACCAGAAGGTATGGTGTTGTGGTTCATACCTGTAGAGGAAAGGAGGACCTGCAGCATGTGAGCCATGGTGACCAGATGAAGGATGTGCAGGTGGTTGTAGGCAGAGCTGACAGCAGACGGCTGTAAGTCGACAGCCTCCTCCTGATATAGTGCCGGTATAGACAACACCAAGCCCACCTGACAAAACACACATGTACACCATTAACAAACAATAACTATCATAACCATTAATCATTAATAGTTATATTTAACAGAACGTGTTGAGAGATGAGGACAAGAAGTGTTAAGAGTCCATCATTCTCCACAGAGCTGTTCCTTTAGGGGGAACCTACCAGAAGATGGAAGAAGTCCACCTCCGGAAGAGAAGGGGTGTTCTTTCTGCCCATGGCCGGTAGCAACACTGGCAAAAGAAGTTGCAGTTATGACCACAAGGCAAATGGACAGCAAGCTGTACAATAATATCCAAAAAATAAATGTAAGTATTCCTAAATGACCACTTACCCCCCAACATGTCGTTAAAGTGCCTCTGAATGACAGCCTGGGAGCTCTTAATTCTCTGAGCTGCTGAAAACTGAACAATTGCCTTCAGACCTGCAAGCTAAAAAAAGAAAAAAAAAAGAAAAGAGAATCATTTGAAAAAAACTGATGTCTGAGCGAGTCAAACCCAAACAATTACACATTACATGCATTATGTTAACTTTTCATGTTTGTCCTACCTGTCTGTTTTGTAAGGACCCGAAGAGTGACTTGCCCTCTTCCTGCAATATGTTTTCTGTAAAGACATGCAAACATATTTTGAGAATTGCAAAAGCATGAAAAGGGGCAGATTGACAGAACAAGCCGTACAACGCTTACTGTACCTATGGCCTGAATAGTGAAGGCACATGTGTTCCAAGCCATGAGGGGCACGCGTGGGCACAGCTCATTGGGTGCCGTCTGCATTCCCACCCTGTGAACTGTGGTGGCACAAACAACCAGCATCTCCACCACGCTGTCGGAGAACTTCCTCCTAAAAACAACCAGCCGCAGAGAATTCAAATGTATTATGGGAAGCATAGAGACGTGAGCAGCAGTGGAGGAGGAGCTGACAGTTCCACTCACGGCTCTTGTACTCCATAGCTCAGAATGGATCTAAAGTCCGTCTGGCCCTCTCCACACAGCCCCGTGTCCCCATCGACACTACTGCTCTCGGTGTTGCAGTCTGCACAAGAGAGAGAAAATCATCATTTATCTCACGTCACACATGTCAACAACGAGACATTTAATGGTACTTGTTAGTAACTATTGAAGCAAAAGAGCTGATATCAAACTGAGGTAAGCCGCTGTCAGCCTCCATATGCTCTCTGCATGCACACGTTCTGTTTTCAAAGAGGGTTTTGCTGCTAAATAAATCTCTCTCTGCAGCTGCTTTACAGTAAAAACCTGTCATCAAATAAAGCTAATTATAGCTTTTTATTATGAAGTAACTGCAGTGTTGAGTTCACATTAAAGGCATACTAACATATCAAAAAGCATTCATATACGAGTCTGCCAGGTTTGATGATGCTCTGCATCTATATTTGGACATTTTGTGCAGGTTTTCCATTGTTTCAGTTAAACAGACCTCTTGTGCCACTGCTGTTCACCCAACCAAAGATGTGCAATCATTGTATGTCGAGTATGTCTTCTTACCATTTTCCTGAGTGACTGACTTGAGTCCTCTAATCCTGGCGGCGAGGATCTGGATCCAGCGAGGCAGGGTCAAATGCTGTCCAATTATCTCTGCATTTTCACTGTATACAGGAAAACATATTCACATAACTTCTATACAACTAATGATCCATTGCAGATTGGCCTGAAGACGGTGAACTGGACTTACTAGTTAAACATCAACCTTTCAAACGGGATGAGAGGGACAACAGTGTTGCACAGAGACTTGCACAGGGGACACAAGTACTCTCCATTCTCCAGGTCGATGATCAGCTCAACATGGAGTCGGTTCCTGGTCATATTCTGAACAGCCTCAAAATATCTGAAAAATACAGAGAACGACACCTTAATGGCAAATTACCTGTCAACTGTACCTGCAAGTGGACCCCACACACACACACACACACACACACACACACACACACACACACACACACACACACACACACAGAACTGACAGAATAATAATTAGCAAATGTGTTCTTGTAATAACTCACTTTTGCCAACATGTGGCATGCATGACATGTCCACAGCTGCCAGTGTGGGTTCCAACGGCCAGTTCAGGAGGCATGAAGAGGGGATATAATGTCCCTGTCCCTTTAAGGGATAAATACAATGCACATATGACTCAGATGAGTCTGATTTTCCCCCCATCAAATTACAGTTGTTAACGATGCAATGGATTGATTAGTGGATGAAGACTGACCATCTGCTCTATTGGTCGGTATCCTCCCTCTGCACTGTGTCAGCACTGTGGACCTCTGGACACACGCAGTCAGTACCATGGCTGCAGCCTGGGCCGCAACCTCCTGTTCTTCCTGGCAAAGAATGCAGGTGAGCACCTCCCTCTCTGCTGGAGAGGACCCTCGGTGGGGCCCGATGGCTACACGCAGCTCCGTGTGCTCCATGGCACAGCTGGAAGAATAAACATAACCCAAACTAGAATTAGTCATTGGATTTTAATAGCAAGCCAGCTAAACACACCCATGAATATGTTTTTTTTTTTTTGAATGGTCACCTCTCAGTAGTTGCAACAGGCTCTCCCTGTGTCCCGCTCTCTGGCATGTTGTCATACAGCATCTTGTTTGACTCAATGAAGTTTTTCTGCATTGCAGACATCTGGGCCATAATCTTCTGCCGGTGGAGTTTGGCTGCCTCTGCCTTCCTTTTGCGCTCAGCTTTCTCTTTGTCCTGAGCACTCTGGAACAACAACAAGTCAGTTGTTATTGCCTATAACTTCATGACGGACAGCTATATTGCCATTTATCAGATCCATTAAGGAAACCGAATAATTGTACATTTGATACTTTTGTAAATGTATTTATTTTTTGAGACAATGACATGAGGCTCTTTCTGTTATTTCATCTGCACCCATTCAACTGCCAAAATGGCACAAGCAAAAGTTAAATAGAGTCAAATGTATCAGATAAATACTCATTTTTTTTATGCATCATTCATCGTTCCTTTACCTCTTCTGGCTTGGTTGTATCCACACTCATGGAGGTCGTTGGACTGGACTTCTCCCTAAGGCACTTGACAATCTCAAACATCTAGCAGAAAAACATTCATACAAGATGGTGTTAACACAAACACACCTCACGTACATACACATCTTCTTTTGTTGATAATGTATTGTTATATATCATATATTGTTAAAATGCTTTGCCATCAATATTACATAGTCATATCTTATGTAAATTACTTTTGTGTTCTCTATAATAATGTGAAATTTTAATCACATACAGGTGAAGGCTTTAAATAAGCCCAGTGGGTTTAAACTAAAGTAAAATCAGTCTATGATATAAACTGTTATGTGATACACATTGTATATTTGAATAGTCTACCTGTAAAACCCATTTAACCATGTCCTTTTGAGCCTCCAGGGAAGGAACAGTCTTAATCTTGGACAACAGGACGAAGACTGACTTGCCGTGTTCTGAACCAATTCCTGGAAGAACAGAAGAGACATTTATATCACAAAATCCACAAAAACAAACCAGTTTATAGCTTTGAGAATTATGATAAATAGTAAGTAAGCTGTACACAAAACAATTAAGGTTTCACTCACTGCGGGCCTTGAGGCTGAAATCAAAGGCCACTTCCTCCATAGTGCTCTCCTCAAGCTGCATTTTCTCTTCAAGCAATGCCTGACCCATCAAGTGCAGGGCCTGTGTGGTAAATGCATGCACTTTGTTACCGCAAGGGGTTTGAGTATTGAAAGGCAAAGGCCGAGCAACGTAGACTCTGTAAAGGAAGAAAAAGAAATAGATGTATTGTCTACCCTCTGGATCATGGCTTCTGTCCAGTGAGTCGCCCGGTCCTCTGCAGCTCTCTGCAGGGTGTGTCTCAGGATGTGGATGATAATGTCACAGCTGAGCAGCCGCACTATGCTGGAGAAAGCTGGGCAGAAGGCCGGGGGCATCGGAGGACGCAGAGCTGAGAATAAAATAAAAACACGGGGACTGTTAGTCGAGCTGATTCATTAGCAGTTGGAGTACAGATCAGTACATCTTGGAGCTGTACAGAGGTCTGTGCAGAGCAAAGACATTGATCACCTTTATCATGGCCTTCGTGAGTCCTCCTCTTCTTCTGAGACTCTTCTGCCTGCAAAGAGTGAAACATGAGAATGAAATGAGGAACATTCAACACCAATGTGTCACGTTAATGGAAAAGTGGTGTTGAGACATTGCATTACCTTGCTATGCTGCGATCTTGAATAATGGTAGAAGAAAGGGTTGAATTCTACCAGACGCTCTTTTTTTACTCCGTACAGTCCATGCCCGGAAACTCCCGGTTTTCTAAAAACAGAAGTAGAATAAACTGATTATATTCGCTCTAAAAAGATGACCAAGATAAAACTCAAAAGCTCTTTCACAGTATTTACATACTTGAAGGTGGCAACTTTGGTAATAACAGTCTCCAGGCCTGTTTCATGGCTCTCCTACAAAGAAAACATTTTGAACTCGTTTTCCAATGATCATAAAAACTAAGAAATGAACTCGTTAATTTAGACTGTGTGTCGCTTACGTTCTCCGGCAGACCCTTGACCAGGCTACTATGAGCCATGGGTTCAATGCACAGCAGCTGGATAACCTCCCTCATGGTCACATCCTCTTTGGTCACCTGACTGATACCGGGGACGTAGCGCTCACCTGGAAACAACACTAGTCAGACACTATTCAACCAACTCAATTCCTGTTTGTTTTATTAGCTTGATTAGTAGAATGTGACACTGTACCAATGACAACGATAAGGAGGTACAGCATCTCTTCTGTCAAGCGGTTCCACTGTATCAGTTCATCCTGCAAATTGTGTTGCATTTCATCACGAAGTAGATCATTTATACAACAACTTTTTTTATTCTGAATGATTATTGGGGTGTTACTTGCCTGGTCTTTGTTTGTACTTCCTTTAAAATAATCAAAGAGCTCAAATCTCAACAAGACCAGCATGAGGAAGTGGTTGGGGTCCATTTTGGAAGCAGCTATCTGTAAACAATTTGTATGGAGAGCCATATATCACCACATTATGTGTATATATTAACAAATGTCAAAGACTTTCTCTATGTCTGATTGCCACCAACCTGGAGCATGAGAATGTCCTTATCATACATCTCGTCCCTGCATTTTACATCCTGATAGTAGTAGACCTGATCATATGGGAAAAACAATTAATTTACTTGTCATTTGTTAACAGAGCATAGCACGTAACAAAACAGAGAGCATACAGAATAAAAACAAAGCCTTGAACAGCCAAATAATGCGGTATACCTGGCTGACCAATGAAATCCCGTTTCTCCGCCACATTTCAGCCGAGACCTGTGCAGCCAGCACCACACAGCGCAGAGGATGCTCTGCCAGGAAGGTGTGGTCAAAGGGCTCCTGCAACAGACAGATAATAACTCTGTAACACCTGCAGTGGAAGTTAAGACAGCACACACTGAATACTTAAAGCTTAGGAAACATATAGAAGAGTTTTCATGTCACTTACAGGATCATCCAGACGTTCAACTGCCCCCGTTCTGCACAGGAGTACATACAAACCTACGGATCACAACGTACAGAGTAGTAAGTTCACACAGTGACAGAAAAATACCAATAAATCACTAAGCACCTCAAATATGAGCTCTCCTACCGGCCAGTAGTCTGGAGATGGGCAGATGTATGCTGACTGGCTCTTGAGACACTTTGTAGGGACGGACATGGAGGACGTGCTTTGACATGTAGTAGTTAGTGGGCTCCTTATGGAAGGGCTGGTTATTGCACTGCATCAGGACTCTGTGGCACTCTTCAAATGCCAGCAGCAAGATCTCGTCCTGAAGGGGCAAACAAGCAATAATTGAGCACAGCTTCTGCCTGTTCTAAGTGAACGGACAGTAAAGGGGGGGGGGGGGGGGGGGGGGGTGTTATAGTTATACTCCCTCTGTTTGTGGGATAACTATAGTTTGACAGACAAATTGCATGGCAACTCACATCAGAGGAACACCAGTCTTGAAACATAGCAAGAATGTGGCGAAGCTGGATCTGAAGAGAGAAGCCGGCCTCCCACTCTGGCTCTACCGCAATGTGTTGACCAAACTGGCGCTTCACTTCCTCCATTCCCTAAAATCAGAAGTCAAAGAAGAAATATGGTCAGGGTGGATTAAATATCTGGTTTGTCAGGTTACCATAAGCTGATGTAATGGCCCTGGTATTGCACACTACCCAAGAATTAATCAGGGTTGAGAAAATGATTACCTGCATGCATTTGAGAAGCCCAAGAAAGACTTTGAATCCCTCCAAGAACTCTCTCCGCAGCTCTTCAGTCCATATTGAGGGTTTACTGATCAGAATATACCTGAGAGACACAAGTCACATCTTAGATAAAGACACAGAAAGTTAAGAAAAAAAAGAGTTACTTCAAGTCGTTGCCAGTTTACTGACCTGAGGTCATGGAAGATGATCTGGATGCGTGAGAACTTGTCGGAGTTGTAGCCGAGGAAGAAGAAGCGATTGTTGTTATCCAGATGTTCACGCAGCAATTCCATGACTGTACCGACTATCACTTTAATAACATTTCCCTCTTCGATGAGTTGTCTGGCCTAGAAGAGGAACAGGAATGTGAGGCCATAGATAGATGTTAAGGCACTGATGTACACGGCTCTAACAACAAACAGCCCTTACCAGTGTGGGTACAGTGAATATCTGAACAGACAGAGCAGTGATGGATATGCTCCTCTCGTGGTCATCAACAATGAAGTCCTTTTGCAGCTGCGTATAGTACTGAAAACACAAAGATGGAGTATTAGCATTAGTTTAAGCAGGTGAAAGAATGGCAAAAAATGTAAAACATTCCCTCCTTTTTTACCTTTGTAAACTCAATTGCAAAAAGCCTCTTGAACTCGGTCTCCATTAGCATGCTACAGAAAATCAGTTCGTGTACTATCTTGCGAGCTCCTTGAGGAAATCACAAAAGCACCTTCATGTTAGTGACATTTGGAATCAAGTTGAAATTAAGCATGTACTGAAAATCAAGCTCAGGTGTACGTGCCTTTGTACATCCTGCCATCGTGCAGCATGAGTCTGCTGATGAGGCAAGGCCGGTCTCCGTCTGCATTGGCCTCTAGGGCCACCTGACAGAAGGCCTGTCTGAAGCCCACTGCACAAGACACACATATAGGTTCCCAGTCACATGACATGTTTTCTAAAGATGGCACACATGGAAGGTGCACAATCAATAAATAAAGCTACGTTTGTGTGGTGCAAGTATGGCGACAACGATGGCAGCACCTGAGTAACCGATGACCTTTTGGAACCAGGGGCCGAGGCGCAGAACAAAGGTTTGATGAGCCATGACTGCTGCGTGAAGGATCTCCACGCGTAGTGGCTGCAGGGAAATGTGCTCGGAGTTGGACTGCAACACAGCAGTAAAGTGTTTAGATTTAGAGCTCACTTAACAATTTCAGATTTAAGACTAAACCGTATTCTAAATGTCTGGTATCCCACTGCTGTTTACCCTGATGAGATCTCTTGCTTGCTGACAGGAACGAAGGGTCCCTCTCTTTACTGCCCGCCGACCCTGTGAGACAGTCCACAAAAAAATTACAAAATAGCATAACCTGCAATGATATGATGACTGCAATTATGGAATTCAAATCATGACTGAATTGTAAAGGAAACGTGATGAGCAAATACAGCCATAAAATACCTCTTTGTCAATAAGTGCTGTGTGTGTCTGTGCTTCAGCCTGATCACAGTTAACAGAACGCTGCAGGGTGTAGATCACATGGTCGTACGAGTGGTGCTCATCATTGTACAGTACACAGTAGTATGCGTTGTCTTTTGTCCTGCACGGATAGGTGAATACACTGTTAAAGTTAAAATTGTGTCCTTTGCATATGAATTTATGTATATGCATGCGATTAGACGGGCCATACCGGGGCTGGAGCTCCGCTGACAGCTCGAGGTTCTCCTCCCACACCAAGAAATCTGTGGCGTAGTGCAGCAGTATCCGGAACAGCCTCTCAGCGCGGCTATATATGTCTGGCTCCAACACACACTCATCCTGTACAAAATGAGACAAACACACAGGACTCACATTTCTGAGGACACAACTATAAATCTCAGGAGGTCTCTTGCTCCGTAAGGAACATTCTGGAAACACTTTACAGAAACTATTATTTAGCGACACCTAATTTGAACCTGGATTGATCTTATATTGATCAAAGTGAAAGTGTTCCAAGATTAACTGTGTTGCAATAACCTTTACTAATTCCCTTAGTCCTGTGTCACCAGCACTAACTCTACAACATGACAAGAAGTGGACTAAATGTTTTCCTGACTAAGAGCTTAACAGGCAGCTGACCCTGTGAAGTTTATACATCAAATCCCCTGAGAGCAAACATTCCACATAGCAGCTAAGTATTTCATACAAATGTCTGACATTTAACACACAAACCAAACATACATTGTGTCGGTGTATGCGTCACACGGCTGTGTGAGAACAAGCACTGGAATCTACCACAATCTAACCAAGAAGAAGTCTGAAACGGCATGATGGGTTTTCATGTTCAGTGTGGAGATGCGTTCATGGTCCTCTGATGCTTGTAAAGCACAGGTTCAGATCTGGTGTTGAAAACACAAAGCAGCAATCCAGACTGGTGCCAGTGACGGCTCTGTTAATAGAACACCTGCTGTTTACGGAAAATGGCACAGAGCCGTCAAGCTGTACATCTGCTCAAAGCCCCTGAGCAGGATCTTATCAGAGAAAAGCCCTGATCAGCAAAGAAAGGCCTGACAAACACTTGCTGAGCAGTACAATCAACCACCATGTGTCCAGCTGCAGTTCAGTCGGAGAAGCTGTAAACTGAATACTGCACAGTTCGGCAGGATATAAGTAATTGTGGAAATGCTGCTTTCAACCAGTCTTGTCGACAACTGTTTTCCACTAGCTCTTAGTCGCCCTCCCAATCTCTGAAGCTGGTTAAAATGTGTTTTATGTTCTCAGTTGCTACAGGTCAACAAACTGCTTTTCTTTCTCATTTCCGGATCCAAAACCACAGCCAGGAGAGCAGCATCCAGGTCTAAGATAGGAAAATAAGCATTCTGGGGTTCACTGACACAGAATGGGACAAGTACGCCCCCCCCCTCCAACATCCCTCTTTCCACTCTATTATGTAACTCACCGTTACCATGGCAGTGGCTACCCCAGGGTCGTGTTTGGAGCAACAGGGGCCGATCTTCCAGGCTTCTACATCCCCACAATCACAGAAGCCCCCGCCTGATGACGCGTGCATCTGGAAACAATGTACATATGGTTTATCACTAAGGGAGAGTAATGTGTACACACAACAGTAATCAAGTTGTTAGAGTTTGAACATGAAAGGCCAAAAATAAGCCCAATAATGGATGAATTAATCGTAGATTTGAATGGATGTTGTATTTTTCTCCTAAAGCTTAAAGGGCACACAGAAGAGTTCAAGTTGACATTGCAGCTCACTGTGCACAGTAGGGAATCATAGTAACCAGTGAGCCCATTTAGAAATCTCAGAACATAAATCTAATGGAGGACGGATTTTCTATTATTCACAATTATCAAAAGGAGGAAGAAGCTGACAGCGAGCCCTCAAAATCCCCCCCCCCCAAAAAACCATGAAGATTATATTGACACCAACCTTGTAACGATGGCCTTTGTGAACGCTGTCCTGGAAGCAGTCCATGCACAGGACACAAGTGGGATCTATTGCACAATCCCTGCAATACATTGTAAATGACTTGTTACCCGGTGGAGCAAACAACAATAAACACATTACAAGATCTGAATTATAAAGGAAAGTGTTCTTGCAGTCTGTAGAATATGATGTGTAGGTCAGGGCATCTCTGCAGCACAAGAATATTAACTTAAAAATGGTATTTTGACACGTTTTTCTGTAAAAACAAACCTGCTATAATGCGTTTTTGATTACATTTTTTTTTTAAATCTCTGCGAAACTAAAACCTATTGAGACCAAACTATTCCTTAAAAATAGCCTCCACGTATGTATATTGCTGTCTTTGAACTCTGTGGGTTTATACTGGGGGCAGAGTACTGTGGAAATACTATTTGATATCTGCATTTCATGCCTCAATGTCAGCAACAACCAAAACAATTATTCTTTTACGTAGATATTGATATGAATCATCCTGTATTTAAAATGACTATTAAGAGCAAATAAATATCTAGTATTTTATCATAACTACTACTATTATTATCAAGACCAGAGGATCTATTCAGACCTGCAGGAGTAGACCGTCTCTCCCTCTTTGAAGACCCGTCCACAGAGCTGGGAGGAGGTGCTGCCCTGCTTGAGCTTCTCCAGACCCTCCTGAGGATCCTCTCCGAACAGGAAGCACTCCAGAGGTTGGAAGAGTCGGCTCTGCATGAGCTCCTCTTCCTCCTGAGGGCTGGACTCCTTCTTCAGGCAGAAGATCTGCGGCACCTGCTCCTTCAGGTAGCGGACCAGCTCCGCCCTGCTGTCTGCCGCCTCCAGCCATTCCTGCAAGGTAACCGATGAGGGCATGATTGTTTTGCAGTGACTCACATCTGTCTCCGCCCAGTGATGCATAACCACATTTATAAGTCACAGTGATACATATTAACTTCAGCAAAGAATCATCTTTAATAATCAATTCAAACTTAAAATCTTTGTTTAAGGGCAATTGAGTAAAATTAGGAAGATAAAAACTTTTGCAATAAAGGCAGAAATATGTTATTTGAATGACTGCTGATGCTCCCACCAAGCAGAGCTTTCAATTAGTTTTGTCTTTAGAAATCTGTAGTGAGGAAACGTGCACCACAACCAGCCTGGCATCAAAGTGGAAAAGATTAGGTGAGAAAGAAAATTACCAACCGATTTCTTAACAACTTCTCAATAACTTAAGTCATCATTCAGGAATTAGTCACCCTACTTCCTCCTGATGTCTGCCAAATTACTGAAGCTCACTTCCACACTTACTGTACCGGCTGGCAGCTGGATGAAAAGCACCATGTACACAGGGTAGCGTTTACTGTTGGAATTGTCATACCTATGTAGCAAGAATAACTAATATTGGTACCATATATATATACTATAATATACAGCATATGGTAGAGCACAAGTCAAAAGGAGTGGAACTTTGGATGCCATTAATAAAATATTGAATAAATGTCTGGAAGGTGATCTTTGATAATTCATTGTTTTTAGGCCTAAATTAGGAAGTGTGAATGGCACATGGAGGGACTGCTTTACCTATAAAAAGGGTAGAACCAGCAGACCTAAACAATACCGTCTTCTTTGAACCCCCTGAGGAAAGGGTAAGCTGAAACATGTAGTAGTTTAACATGATTTAAATAGTTTTACAGTACTCAAAGGTGTGCATGAATTGTCCGCCCTAAAGTTGAAACGGGTGGGTGAAACACTATGTTTTTTAAACATTCATACTGGCAGCTGTCGTCGCATATGCACATTATACCTGGAGGCTTGAGTTACACTAGATATCAAAACATTTTCAGGTTTTATAATGCTGGTTCTGCGAGACAAGACACGTGTCATACTGTAAAATATCTAACGTTAACGTAATAATAATATATTTCACTGTCACGCTGCAACAACGTATTGGACAATAGCTTATGATTGAGAAAACGTTGCAGGGGTTTGTGGTGGGAAAGCAGCCAACAATGGTGTTCAAAATGTTCAAACTCATGAAAGACTCATGCTGAAGCGCTATGGACAAAGCGACAATCAAAATACCACAGATTGGAGATCACTGCGAACAAACACCTCCATGGCATACTTCCCCGACTGTGTTGAGACCTCTTAACAAGTACTGACAACTAAACTAGTTAAACACACTCACTGTTGATGGCCACTAAATATCGCAGCCTCTGCAGGGACATTTTAAACGTTTAGGTAGCTAGCACAGGAGCTAACCGCGGATGCTAGCCTGGGAAGTAGATGCCCTTTAACGGCCCGGTCAGACTATTTGTTCATATAAACTAATACATTTTACTACTGAGTTTTGTCCCCGAGTCTCAATAACCACTGAGAGACATGTTAGCTGTGTGAAAATCATACCTTGCTGAGCTCCAGTCCGTCTGGGGATTTCTCACCCTCCGCCATATTCCATTTGCCGTAAAGGAGGAGGTGTCACTAGGAAACTGTTCCTCTTGTAATCGAAGCCTTTTGCGACGTTATTTGACCGTTAGAATACTCCGAAATATGCAGGTGTAGTTAAGCACTCACGAGCCCTCTCCTTTTCAGTTTATATGTCAAATAGGAGACTTATTATGAATAGAGGACTTTTTTTTTTTTTTTAAATAATATATTAATAATATGCCTCCGGTCAAAACAAACATTTTGTAAACAAAAATATCTGCCACACTCGCCCTCTGGTGGTAGTCTTTAATTGATACACAATTTAATTTGACTATTATTAGGTTACGTTTCGGGTCAATCTATATTTTTTGTCAAATAAATTATGTCACGGACACATGTTGTAATTAATAAAGATACTTAGTGGATGAGTGTCTCTATGAAGCGACATGACGTTAGTTGACAGTTGCTCTGTGTGCCGCACACAGACAGTGATTTCAATGACGTCGCTGATATAAATGTATAAATCAGTTGGCGCTATGATGACGGTGGTCGTGTGGGCTCCAGGCCTCCAGAGGGCGCTGCTCGAGACTGTCCTTTCTTTCCGTGGTCATGAATGGAGCGGGGCCAGAGGTCAGAGTTCACTGTTTGACAGAAAGCTGAATATGGAGTCCATATTTCATGAGAAAGTAAGTTAAAACGTTGAAATTAAAACATGAAGCCCCAAGTAATTCGTCGTGTTTTTTTCGGAAAGCCTTGAATCTTCTAGCGGTGATGTGTTTACCGGCGCTATCTGGCCGGTGTGGAGAGATGTGTGGTGTTGTTTGTCAGTATTGTTGTCCAGACAGCTAAGATGCTAACTGCATCTGATAGTCAGACATCATGAAAAGTTTCAGCTTGTAGTAACGACGCAGAAAGCTTTCCAACAGCCGCAACCATGTTATTTTTGTCACGTTAGAAAACGAACTAGCTATCTGGTCTTTATAGACGAGTAACGTTATTAACTGTGTTGTTTGCGTAAGCTAGCTGCATGTAGCTACCAGTGTATAACTGTTGGGGACATACCAACTGAATTTTAGTACTTACGTCAGCTATTTCCATGTCCATAAGGCTGACTAAGTTGTTAAGAAAACTATGTCATCGTGCTGTCATGTTAGAATAGTAATATGCGCTGGTGTCTTATCAATGTCTAAACCTTTATTTTTCAGCAAGAGGGCTCTCTTTGCGCCCAACACTGTCTCAACAACCTCCTGCAGGGTGAGTACTTCACTCCTGTGGATCTGTCCTCCATTGCTCATCAGCTCGATGAAGAGGAAAGAATGAGGATGGCTGAAGGCGGTATGGCCAGTGAGGAGTATAGGACTTTCTTACAGGTGAGGAGACATAGAAGTGAATGCTAGTGCAGCAGCCTATTTATTGTCTGTGTATTCAAACAGTCTCTAATTTTATGTTCTGTGAATGTGATTCCAGCAGCCATCTGGCAACATGGATGACAGCGGGTTCTTTTCAATACAAGTGAGAGATTCACATTTTATTGTTGTTAATCAAACAACAGATCTGTTAACAGATCAATAACCATTATGAGTTAGTGATATGAATTCCCTTTTCTGTCATCTAATTCCTCTAGGTAATTAGCAATGCACTGAGGGTGTGGGGTTTGGAGTTGATCCTTTTCAACAGCCGGGAGTACCAGAGCCTGATGATTAATCCAATGTAAAAGACTTTTTTGTGTAATATCTTGATCTGTAATCCCATTACTACTCTACAGTTGAAGGTGACAGCTATTCCTACTTTCATGTTTCAGAAATGAGAAAGCCTTTATTTGCAACTACAAGGAGCACTGGTTTACTATACGGAAACTTGGACAACAGGTATGAGGCACTTGTAAACGAACAATAAACAATGTTAACACAACTTTAAATTACTAAAAATATTTTTATTTTCATTGCAGTGGTTTAATCTGAATTCACTGTTGACTGGACCAGAGTTGATATCAGACACCTATCTAGCACTTTTCCTTGCACAGTTACAACAAGAAGGTATTGTAAGATTGTCTTTTGTTATACAACGTTTAGTTGTTGCAAAGCAGAAACCAGTCTAAAAGTGGACTTTGTGCAGGTTATTCCATATTTGTGATCCGAGGAAACCTCCCAGAGTGTGAAGCAGAACAGATTCTTGGGATCATGAGGGTGCAGCAGCAGCAGCGACCAAGGCTTATTGGAGAGGATGAAGCCCAGACAAGTGCAGGGTATGTACTCTATGTGCAGAGAGCACAATATGGAGAAGTATCTTAGTTCATGTTTCAAGTTGCTCAAAATATTCTTTTTCTGCTTCCTTGCGGCAACTGATTAAGTCTTGTACTGTGAGCAGGAGGTCAGCAGCTCTGAGCCAGTCAGAGGTGGTCTTTGGTGTGGAGGATGAGGTTGTTGATGAAGATGACGAGCTGAAGAAAGCTCTGGCACTCAGCAGACAGGACATAGATGTGGAAGATGAAGAAGCTGATCTTCGCAGGGCCATACAGCTTAGCATGCAAGGTAAATGAGTTATCCAAAGGTTTGGAAATATTTTATTGTTTCTTTGTCCAGATGAATTGCAAATCAACGAAACAGTTGATTTTATAAACTCACGAATCTATATGTGTATGTATGTATGTATGTATGTATATACGTATATGTATACGTATATATGTGTATATATGTATATATATACGTGTATATATGTGTGTATATATA